AAGTAAGTCTTCCTCCCCTAACAGCAGTCCTCAAACTCTTTATCCCATTCCCCCACTGGAACACTGTATACCAACAAAGTAAGTCTTCCTCCCCTAACAGCAGTCCCCAAACTCTTGATCCCATTCCCCCACTGAAACACTGTATACAAACTAATTATAAGTAAGTCTTCCTCCCCTAACAGCAGTCCCCAAACTCTTGATCCCATTCCCCCACTGGAACACTGCATCAGAACTAAGTTATGTCCTCCTCCCCTCTTTCTTAGCCAACCTTCACCCTCCTTTTTTGACTGAATCACTACATCAGCACCACGTCAGTGCTACATCATTTTATGACAAAAGTCTCAGTAGTTTTCCCCACCCTCCCCATCCCCTGCCACATGGCATCTCTCCAGTGAAACTCTTTGACAAAAACACAAAATATCTGACACAATTGTTCTACAGAGATTTGTTTATATTTTCAGGTGGAAAGGTGCTGTTGTTGACTGGAATGGAACAGAGCCGTTGTTATGATAGAGTTAGGACTTGAGTACCAAAAGATGCTTTTACTTTACTGTTTACTTAACAAGGGAATCGCTATCACAGTTATACCCAGGGTACCAAAGATCAATGTCACAGAAATGTTTACCACAGACTGAAGTACCATCACATAGATTGATAATCTAAGAGCAGCTGACCATGGTACCTCAACATGTTCTCGTGTAACAGATGATGCTTATATATAGGGCTGTACAATTACATATGATACAACACCGGTGACTCCTGGAGTTTTCTACTTTCACAGGAACCAAGATAACGACACAGCCATAAGCTCAAAGTGTTATTTTCAATGATACGAAACCATGTATTTTACAAAGCTATAGTCATCAATGATACAAAAGGCTGTGTTTAATCATACAAATCTGTTTTCACTGATACAAAAGGCTGTGTATTACCCACCACTTATAGTCCAGAATAAAGAATAAGTTAACTACCATTGTTACACGTTACAATGTATAAGACAAACATTTTATCAAAATTAAAGAGAATGGAAAAATTGATGCAAAAAAATACCAAGTATATAGTGGCACAGATTTTAATTGGTAAGACATAAAAGAGCAATAAAATGTTATTTGACAAATTGTATCAAATTACTAGTTTTCAATAATATTAAAGTACTACAATTGACAGAAATATTGAGTTACTTGTATACGATAAGATTGAATTACTAACTTACAATAAAGGGTATCAATATGTAGTGATTTATAAACAGCCAGGTGACGAATACGCTTCAGATGAGTACAGGAGAATTATAGCTAAAATCCCTGTGAATAACAACCAAATTTATGTGTTATGATACTGATCCTAGTGCCAATATATCATTTTCATTCTGCTGCAACTTAATTGTTCATGGTCCCGGAGGTAAAATTATACCATGGCAAATATATGGGGACAAAATGTACTCAATCTAGCGATGAAATTTAAAATGTTACTATGGAAATAGGAAAGGAAATAAGTAAACCCAAGTACAGGGTTAAAAATTTACCTATACATGTATCTTTATTTTGATCCAATTTTCACTGATAAATGTGTTCATGTGTGTTTGTTGTAAGAGTGTAACTTGTGATGTACAATTTGGGCATCTGATACAGACCGCAATTTAGGAAATATTATCACTTCCATCTTTTACAATAAATATATATATTTTATTTCAAATTTATTTATTGCTTTTAGGAGCTAAATGTTGCCAATGTCTACCTTATATACATGATATTTTTGACTCCCTGTTGAAGGTCGTTTGATGTACATGGGTGCCAATTAAATATTTTATCAAAGCCAGAGTGCCGTCATATCTCACTCAGAGCAAAATACCATTCTCAAAGGGAGATCTGAAGTTTTTGTAACTAGCTCATTGTGTTATGTGTGAAAATATTTCTATTGTGTATGTGATGATATGATACCTAAATTATTTGTATGTTGTTTTATTTCACCATGTGATAGTTCAAAAGTCTGATGTCATCAAATGTTGTGATGTGTGTGATGTCATCAAATATTGTGATGATTTTAAATGTGTGATGTCATCGAATGTGTGATGTGTGATATCATTAACCTGTGATGTTCTTGTGTGCGGGAAATGTGAATGAAATGAAATATATATGGATGTGACTTGTTGACACATTGTGATGAATTATGTCATGTACACTGTACACATGTTTGTTTTTACAATGATGTGATGTGGTTAAGAAGGTCAATAGATTCAAAATCTTAAAGCTTGTGATTAGTATAGGAATACCAATTGTAACTCTAAATTTTGTTGTAATTTATATGATGAAGAAATTGAAAACAATAATCAGAATTTGTCCCGGTTCCAAAGTTGGGCAAATATTTTTTAACGAACTGTTATAAAGTCTATCTGGTCCAGATATTTTTAATGCAATAAGTTGCACTTGTGTAAGTGTATGTATATTGTATAATGGTGTATTCACCATTTTGTTGTACTTATAGAACTCTTGAGTCCCCTATATGTTCGGGACAGACATTATTATGTACAGATGTTATAGTCTTCCTAGTTCCTTTACTAATCTCAGGAGGGAAATATTCTCACTATAATGAAAATGAGGTGCATTAAAACTGATGCTGCATATGGACTCTTCTTGTGCCAATAAATTCTATAGAATGACAAATGTCACTGATATTTATCTTAACAAATGACTTTCACAGTTAAGAGTTTGATCAAACAAATGCAACACAGTGAACTAGCCCTCGTATCATGAAATAGGTTAAGTCATGATCTGAATATCAGGGTTGTAGAAGGTTTTTATAAAAGTTAAAGATGTTTTTTGTAAAATTTCTATCTGTACATTTCAATATAAATGGGCAGTCACACTGTGACACAGAACAATTAGTCAATGACTTGTGTATAAGCCCGAGGGCCTGGCATTTCTATATTATGAAAGGGTCTGAGTTTCCTTTTGAACACAAGACTGAATACATGTGCTGATTATTAGGGAAGTTTGGTATGGGTTGTATGTTCATTTATAAAATGTGAATCAACAGAGCACATTATGTTTATCATATTGACAAACTGATGGAGAACATTAATTCTCTGTATTTTTGGCAAATAAAAGGACTACATTCTCTAGACATTCTCTATATCATATTGACAAACTGATGGAGAACATTAATTCTCTGTATTTTTGACAAATAAAAGGACTACATTCTCTATACATTCTCTATATCATATTGACAAAATGACAGACTACAGACTTCATTCTAGATATATTTTATTGAACATGTTCATATACTGTATTTAATTCTCTTTGTTAACAGAATGATGGAATACATGTATTTTCTTTATTACAATGACAACTTTTTAAAGGACATTAATCGTCTTTATATTGACAAATTGATAGAACAAATTAACTTACTAAATAATATACATAATATTATATTGACAAATTGACAAATTACATTAATTGTATATATCATATTGACAAGGTTATGGAGTATATTCTCTATATTTAATAGACAAAATGCTGACTTTTGAAGTTATGATGTTTGCATATTAGTTTATGTCACTATTTTCATAGAAAAATGTTTGAAAAATATCAATTAGGACTTAGCATGGAAACTTAACCATCTTACAGCATGGAACCTAAACCATCTTACAGATCACCACATTGTGTATTAAACCATTTTACAGCTAGATCACCACATTGTGTATTAAACCATTTTACAGCTAGATCACCACATTGTGTAAACTAAGTATGAATAAACAACGTAAATAAAATCAAAGTGTTTCTGTTTGTTACAAATTTGTCATAACTAATTGATACAGCCGCTACTAACATATATATCCTAGACACCTTCAAGTTAGAAAAGAAATTAAAGGCCATATATATATGTATTGATCAGGAGCGCATCTTCAGGCCCCTTATGTCTCTTGTTTAATTTCCTGTCATAATTACTATTCCTATGCTATATTTTCCTAATCAGAATGTGAGTATATCGAAATAAAAATTACATATTCTCAAAAACTAAACTACAGGAGCTGTACTCTGGACTAAAACACTGTCAATCCTATTCTACGTATGTACCTTGTCAATTAAAGTAATTAATTATATAACTCAGCCACTGGATCATGAAGAGACAGACTTTTTTCATCCTGAAAAGTGGAACTCCTCTTAGCAAGTTTGATTCGTACATTTGAATACTTCCATTACAAAACTGTAAAGATAAATGTGATGTTTGTATATTAGGCCTATAATATGTTGTATACCGATTAAAGGGACATAAGTCCTACTCTAAATTAGTAAAAAAAATGTTAAATCTAATTCATTTTCAAAAAAAATAACAATTGATTTTAGTTTCCAATTTTTGAAAATTTCCAACAAAATATATTGATATCATTATTAGCCTAAGATAGGCCTTATTCTATTTTTGTATGTACGGCGGATAATCTTGTTCTCGGATTATAGTGCCGATTTTATATCGGCCTATGCCTAGCAACAAGGTAAACAAGCACCTGTCATACAAGCGTTAGAGAGACCAAGAAAAATGGCGTATTACCAACAGAACTACTCGCACTACCAACAACCGAGCCAACACTATGGCCAGTATGGACAGGTGTTGCAACAGAACGCTTTCCAGTCTAATGTCTGGCAGGTTTGTATAAACACCATCCAAAACATGTGTTGGCACATGTGTTATGTAAGGTCTGATCTCCAAATGCTTTTGACCACTCAAACGTGTTTCACAGTCACACTTAATTCCTGTAGGAACTCTATCTAAATCAGAGATCTATCGTTATACATCTCTGATTTAGATAGAGTTCCTACAGGAGTTAGGACGTACCGACTTCAGACAAACCATCGGTGGACTATATATATATTAAATATCAGCTGTACATCTGTATATATCATATTATGATAATTGACCGTACTATAAATTATAATCGGATAATCCCCTCATGATCCTTAAGTTTATTAGATTATTACTCATCTGTCTTCTAATAAAACCCCTCTGTCTGACTTCTGTTGGACTCAATCCTCTTCCTTTCCTTCATGAAACTACAGCTTGGAACATCAGAACTGTTCAAATAGATTACTTATCCAGGTTACCACTATTATATCTGTCGGTCTGACCACAGAGGTTTAATTGTTACTGATGTCAAAAATATAATCATGCTATATATACTGATATACATGTCACTGCACACATATACAGGTTTGTGTACATGTGTGCTTTGGCCCATGGCAGTATACATGTACAGTAGCATATATATATGTGTGTATTGTAGATATTTGTAACAAACTTCCTACATTCTATTGTCTATTAGACCTCGATCCACACCAATATTAATCTTTCCCTTCGAATTCTCTCCTGATACAATTCTGATGCTAAAACTATATAATTATCTTATTCAATTTTTTGTTGCAGGCATTTGGCTTTAGTAGCCCTGATGAACTACAAGTTCTCTTCAATAGGGCTGTTCACGCAAACCCTCAAAATGTGGTAAGTACAGGTGTTTATCATATTCAACAATACTTGTTTGTGATATATGTTGTTTTGCATGTGCATGCAATACTGCTAGCTACATGTGTGCATAGGCCATATCAAGGACTGACCAATCTCAGCCGGGCACGCACCAAATCTACCTGGCCCATATGTCATATCTGTCCAGCATGGGCCATGCATACTATTTTACTTCCGACTCACTTCAATTCAGAAAAATCATGCCTAAATTTTCATTCAGTTTCTGTTTTTCACCAATAGTTTTGGTGCATACTAAAATAGCTACAGTGTCTATGATAAAAAGGTTATGATATGACCATTTCCATATATACCTGTATATATCTCTTCACCTGTATGAACCCTAATCAGGTCTGACCCGTCTCTTTTGGCCACTATGGAGGCCTCAGGTTAATATATGGAAATAGTCGTATGATAACCTCTAAATCATTGTAGCAGAACTGGACCAGGTTGATTGTTTGTGACCAGGTAGTTTGATTGTTAAAGTGTCTGTCTAGAGTTCGGAGGGTCCCGGGTTCGAACCCTGGTCTGTCTGTTGTATTTCCCTTTCTCCTGTACACAATTGGCGAGCTTTCATGATTTAACCTTGTTTCAAGCACAGGGTGAACACTTTGCAAGGGTATACCTGAACCTGGTTAGTTAACAGTTAAGGGTCCTTGGGGACATGTAGTTCAAATAAATGTATGTATCGGCCCTATAGCTATCGGGTATGCTTTTTAAATGAATAGAACAACCATCGTCCAGGGAGGGTCATTGGTATCCAACATAACAATTATGATTGATGTCATAATAATGATGACATCAACAATAGGTCCCTGGCATCCATATCCTATATGAATTTAATGCCAACTGAATTTTAAGGGTTATATAGTGGCAATGCCATACGATGGTAAATATATCATTATGGCTGGGTTTTTTTCCATCATTATAGCAACGGCAGGCGATCCAAGCCGAGGACCTTGTTAAGGTGATGAATGAATCGCAACAGATCCGACAGTTCTTTGGCAGTGAGTAAGAATTACAGGTTTTGAGGTTGTATCGATGGTCTGTAAGGGTGGGAACCTCTCACAAAACCTCAGCTTTCTAGTTAAATCTTAATTTGACCTAGATGTTACAGGATTTAATTTATTGAGTTGATATATTTGTTACAACAAAACAAAACCATTTTCTTTTATTAAAACTCTGTGTAATTTATGTGGAAAGCATATGTTTCAATTTCTACATATCTGCTCTAATTTAATAGCCTCTACATACATCACACACAGACTGTCTTCACCTCATGATCACAGTCTGATGTTTTTGAATTATTTAGATTTACAAAGTTGCAACAATACCAGCAGTGACATCTCCATGATATTTTAATTGTGTTCCTGTAAAACGAATTTCATTTTAATTTGCAGTATGCTGGAGCAGGGAGCTTTGTAAGTAAGTACCACTATAAGATAATACCCTTCTCAGAAGTGAACTGGAGCTCTGTAAGATAAGTCACTAGATATCATCCTCAGAAGTGAACTGGAGCTCTGTAAGATAAATCACTAGATAGTATACTCAGAGTTGAACTGGAGCATTGTAAGATAAGTCACTAGATATCATACCCAGAAGTAGACTGCAGCTCTGTAAGATAAGTCACTAGATATTATACTCTGAAGTGCACAGGAGCTCTGTAAGATAAGTCACTAAATATCATACCCAGAAGTGAACTGGAGCTCTGTAAGATAAGCCACTAGACATCATACTTAGAAGTGAACTGGAGCTCTGTAAGATAAGCCACTAGACATCATACTTAGAAGGGAACTGGAGCTGTGTAAGATAAGTCACTAGATATCATACCCAGAAGTGAACTGGAGCTCTGTAAGATAAATCACTAGATAGTATACTCAGAAGTGAACATGAACTCTGTAAGATAAGCCACTAGATATCATACTCAGAAGTGAACTGCAGCTCTGTAAGATAAGTCACTAGATATTATACTTAGAAGTGAACAGGAACTCTGTAAGATAAGCCACTAGATATCATACTCAGAAGTGAACAGGAGCTCTGTAAGATAAGCCACTAGATATCATACTCAGAAGTGAACTGGAGCTGTGTAAGATAAGTCACTAGATATCATACTCAGAAGTGACCAGGAACTCTGTAAGATAAGTCACTAGATATCATACCCAGAAGTAGACTGCAGCTCTGTAAGATAAGTCACTAGATATTATACTCTGAAGTGCACAGGAGCTCTGTAAGATAAGTCACTAGATATTATACTCTGAAGTGCACAGGAGCTCTGTAAGATAAGTCACTAGATATCATCCTCAGAAGTGAACTGGAGCTCTGTAAGGTAAGTCACTAGATATCATACTCAGAAGTGGACAGAAGCTCTGTAAGATAAGCAACTAGATATCATACTCAGAAGTGAACAGAAGCTCTGTATGATAAGTCACTAGATATCATACTCAGAAGTGAACAGAAGATATGTAAGATAAGTCACTAGATATTATACTCTGAAGTGCACAGGAGCTCTGTAAGATAAGTCACTAGATATTATACTCTGAAGTGAACAGGAGCTCTGTACAATAAGCCACTAGACATCATACTTAGAAGTGAACTGGAGCTCTGTAAGATAAGTCACTAGATATCATACTCAGAAGTGACCAGGAACTCTGTAAGATAAGTCACTAGATATCATCCTCAGAAGTGAACTGGAGCTCTGTAAGATAAATCACTAGATAGTATACTCAGAGTTGAACTGGAGCATTGTAAGATAAGTCACTAGATATCATACCCAGAAGTGAACTGGAGCTCTGTAAGATAAGTCACTAAATATCATACCCAGAAGTGAACTGGAGCTCTGTAAGATAAATCACTAGATAGTATACTCAGAAGTGAACAGGAACTCTGTAAGATAAGCCACTAGATATCATACTCAGAAGTGAACAGGAGCTCTGTAAGATAAGTCACTAGATATCATACTCAGAAGTGGACAGAAGCTCTGTAAGATAAGCAACTAGATATCATACTCAGAAGTGAACAGAAGCTCTGTAAGATAAGTCACTAGATATTATACTCTGAAGTGAACAGGAGCTCTGTAAGATAAGTCACTAAATATCATACCCAGAAGTGAACTGGAGCTCTGTAAGATAAGTCACTAAATATCATACTCAGAAGTGAACAGAAGCTCTGTAAGATAAGTCACTAGATATTATACTCTGAAGTGAACAGGAGCTCTGTAAGATAAGTCACTAAATATCATACCCAGAAGTGAACTGGAGCTCTGTAAGATAAGTGACTAGATAGTATACTCAGAAGTGAACTGGAGCTCTGTAAGATAAGCCACTAGACATCATACTTAGAAGTGAACTGGAGCTCTGTAAGATAAGTCACTAAATATCATACTCAGAAGAGAAAAGGAGCTCTGTAAGATAAGTCACTAGATATCATGCTCAGAAGTGAACTGGAGCTCTGTAAGATAAGTGACTAGATAGTATACTCAGAAGTGAACTGGAGCTCTGTAAGATAAGCCACTAGACATCATACTTAGAAGTGAACTGGAGCTCTGTAAGATAAATCACTAGATAGTATACTCAGAGTTGAACTGGAGCATTGTAAGATAAGTCACTAGATATCATACTTAGAAGTGAACAGGAACTCTGTAAGATAAGTCACTAGATATCATACTCAGATGTGAACTGGAGCTCTGTAAGATAAGTCACTAGATATCATACTCAGATGTGAACTGGAGCTCTGTAAGATAAGTCACTAGATAGTATACTCAGAAGTGAACTGGAGCTCTGTAAGATAAGGCACTAGATATCATACTCAGAAGTGAACTGGAGCTCTGTAAGGTAAGTCACTAGATATCATACTCAGAAGTGAACTTTATGCATTATATTATACTCTGAAGTGAACAGGAGCTCTGTAAGATAAGTCACTAAATATCATACTCAGAAGTCAACTGGAGCTGTGTAAGATAAGTCACTAGATATCATACTCAGATGTGAACTGGAGCTCTGTAAGATAAGTCACTAGATATCATGCTCAGAAGTGAACTGGAGCTCTGTAAGATAAGTGACTAGATAGTATACTCAGAAGTGAACTGGAGCTCTGTAAGATAAGCCACTAGACATCATACTCAGAAGTGAACTGGAGCTCTGTAAGATAAGGCACTAGATATCATACTCAGAAGTGAACTGGAGCTCTGTAAGGTAAGTCACTAGATATCATACTCAGAAGTGGACAGAAGCTCTGTAAGATAAGCAACTAGATATCATACTCAGAAGTGAACTGGAGCTCTGTAAGGTAAGTCACTAGATATCATACTCAGAAGTGGACAGAAGCTCTGTAAGATAAGCAACTAGATATCATACTCAGAAGTGAACAGAAGCTCTGTAAGATAAGTCACTAAATATCATACTCAGAAGTGAACAGGAGCTCTGTAAGATATTAGTCAGTTAATATCATACTCAGAAGTCAACTGGAGCTCTGTAAGATATAAGTCAGTTAATATCATACTCAGAAGTCAACTGGAGCTCTGTAAGATATAAGTCAGTTAATATCATACTCAGAAGTGAACAGGAGCTCTGTAAGATAAGTCACTAAATATCATACTCAGAAGAGAAAAGGAGCTCTGTAAGATAAGTCACTAGATATCATGCTCAGAAGTGAACTGGAGCTCTGTAAGATAAGCCACTAGACATCATACTTAGAAGTGAACTGGAGCTCTGTAAGATAAATCACTAGATAGTATACTCAGAGTTGAACTGGAGCATTGTAAGATAAGTCACTAGATATCATACTTAGAAGTGAACAGGAACTCTGTAAGATAAGTCACTAGATATCATACTCTGAAGTGAACTGGAGCTCTGTAAGATATTAGTCACTAAATATCATACTCAGAAGTGAACAGAAGCTCTGTAAGATAAGTCACTAAATATCATACCCAGAAGTGAACTGGAGCTCTGTAAGATAAGTCACTTGATATCATACTCAGAAGTGAACTGGAGCTCTGTAAGGTAAGTCACTAGATATCATACTCAGAAGTGGACAGAAGCTCTGTAAGATAAGCAACTAGATATCATACTCAGAAGTGAACAGAAGCTATGTAAGACAAGTCACTAGATATTATACTTAGAAGTGAACAGGAACTCTGTAAGATAAGTCACTAGATATCATACTCAGATGTGAACTGGAGCTCTGTAAGATAAGTCACTAGATACCATACCCAGAAGTGAACTGGAGCTCTGTAAGATAAGTGACTAGATAGTATACTCAGAAGTGAACTGGAGCTCTGTAAGATAAGGCACTAGATATCATACTCAGAAGTGAACTGGAGCTGTGTAAGATAAGTCACTAGATATCATACTCAGAAGTGAACTGGAGCTCTGTAAGATAAGTGACTAGATAGTATACTCAGAAGTGAACTGGAGCTCTGTAAGATAAGTCACTAGATATCATACTCAGAAGTGAACTGGAGCTCTGTAAGACAAGTCACTAGATATCATACTCAGGTGTGAACAGGAGCTCTGTCAGATAAGTCACTAGATATTATACTCTGAAGTGAACGGGAGCTCTGTACAATAAGCCACTAGACATCATACTTAGAAGTGAACTGGAGCTCTGTAAGATAAATCACTAGATAGTATACTCAGAGTTGAACTGGAGCATTGTAAGATAAGTCACTAGATATCATACTTAGAATTGAACATGAACTCTGTAAGATAAGTCACTAGATATCATACTTAGAAGTGAACAGGAACTCTGTAAGATATTAGTCACTAGATATCATACTCAGAAGTGAACAGAAGCTCTGTAAGATAAGTCACTAGATACCATACTTAGAAGTGAACTGGAGCTCTGTAAGACAAGTCACTAGATATTATACTCTGAAGTGAACAGGAGCTCTGTAAGATAAGTCACTAGATATCATACTCAGAAGTGAACTGGAGATCTGTAAGATAAGTCACTAGATATATCATACTCAGAAGTGAACAGGAACTCTGTAAGATAAGTCACTAGATATCATACTTAGAAGTGAACAGGAACTCTGTAAGATATTAGTCACTAGATATCATACTCAGAAGTGAACTGTAGATCTGTAAGATAAGTCACTAGATATATCATACTCAGAAGTGAACAGGAACTCTGTAAGATAAGACACTAGATATCATACTCAGAAGTGAACAGGAGCTCTGTAAGATATTAGTCAGGTAATATCATACTCAGAAGTCAACTGGAGCTCTGTAAGATAAGTCACTAGTTATCATACTCAAAAGTGAACAGAAGCTCTGTAAGATAAGTCACTAGATATCATACTCAGAAGGGAACTGGAGCTCTGTAAGACAAGTCACTAGTTATCATACTCAAAAGTGAACAGAAGCTCTGTAAGATAAGTCACTAGATATCATACTCAGGTGTGAACAGGAGCTCTGTAAGATAAGTCACTAGATATTATACTCTGAAGTGAACAGGAGCTCTGTAAGATAAGTCACTAGATATCATACTCAGAAGTGAACTTTATGCATTCATGACACATATTGACTGTTAGACTCAGGTCCCCATCTCTAGAAAATTATGCAGATATTAAATTATTTAGAAAATAAATTTTGATCACTTGGATGTCTACTAGGGTGAGATATATTTTAGCTAGTACTAAAATGCAGTTGAGAAAATCTTGATAAAGTCTTAGGGGCTGGTACGTAGCTAGTCTTATTGACTGTAATAAAATATATTGCAGATTTAACTGAATCATGAAAGTATGTAATAATTCTGTGTTAATTTGTACACGGGATATCATACTAGCTTTTCTTTTCCAGAGTGATGCTTGCTATGTTGGATGTATCCTTGAATTATATTGTAACAAAATACATACATTCAATGTCCTTTTGGAGCTAGGGAAACATGGATATTTGTTTCCTCAGACTTGAAGTGTTTCCCTCAAACAAGCTAGGGGCAATACTATATTTCGCTGGTAACAAAAATACATACATTTAATGTCCTTAGGGAGCTAGGGAAACAGGGATATTTGTTTCCTCATAATTGAAATGTTTCCCTCAAAAAAGCTAATTTAGGGCAATACTATTTTGCTCGGGTAACAAAATACAAACACAGTATCTACATGGTAGATATCCTGTGGGGGGTTCCTTTTTATCATTCCTTCAATATGATACACAATTAGTTTTAATTCTTGGGATATGATTTGTGTGAGACTTCTTTTTTAGCTCACCTGCCTGAAGGGCAAGTGAGCTTATGCCATGGTGCAGCATCCATCGTCGTCGGTCCGTCCCATCAACTTTTCTTTAAAACGCTACTTGTCTTGAACATCCCATTAGATTTAGACTAAATTTGGTCTGGGGCATCCTTAGGCCAAATGGGCTCAATTTTGTATAATTGGTTAGTGTGGACCCCCTGGGGGCAGAGGAGTGGGGCCCAATAGGGGAAATTGAGTTAAAACCTTTAAAATCCTTCTTCTACTGTAGGGATTAAGGGATTTTATCCTAATTTGGTCTGGGGCATCCTTGAGCCAAGGGGACTCAATTTGTAGAAACAGTACTAGTGGGTTTGGACTCCCTGGGAGCAGAGTTGTGTGGCCCAATAGGGGAAATAGAGGTTAAAAAACTTTGAAATCCTTCTTCTAACATAGGGATTAAGGGATTTTATCTCAATTTGGTCTGGAGCATATCCTTGGGCCATGGAGACTCAATTTTGTATAAATGGTGGGTGTGGCCCCCTGGGGGCAGGAGGGGGGATTGAATAGGGGAAATAAACGTAAACCTTTGGAATCCTTCTTCTACCATAGGGGTTAAGGGATTTCATCCTAATTTGGTCTGGAGCATCCTTGGGCCAAGGGGACTCAATTTTGTATAAACGGTAGGTCTGAACCTCCTGGGAGCAGAGTTGGGGGCCCAATAGGGGAAATAAAGGTAAACACATTTGAAATCCTTCTTCTATCATCAGGATTAAGGTATTTATCCTAATTTGGTCTGGAGCATCATTGGGCCAAGGGGGCTTAGTTTTGTATAAACATAGGGTGTGGACCCCCTGGGGTGAGAGGTATTGGGCCGAAAAGGGGAAATAGAGGTAAACCTTTAAAATCCTTCTTCTACCATAGAGATTAAGATATATTATCCTAATTTGGTCTGAAGCAACCTGGGCCAAGGGGACTGGATTTTGTATAAAAGGTAGGTGTGGCCCTCCTGGGTTCAGAGGGTTGGGGCCCAATAGGTGAAATAGAGGTATAAAACTTTTGAAATCCTTCTTCTACAATAGGGATTAAGGGATTTCATCCCAGTTGGGTCTGGAGCATCCTTTGGCCAAGGGAACTCAGTTTTGTATAAACGATGGGTTTGGACCCCTGAAGGCAGAGTTGCATGGCCTAATAGGGGAAATAGAGGCAAAAGCCTTTGAAATCCTGCTTCTTCCATATGAATTAAGGGATTTTATCTCAATTTAGCCTGGAGGTTCCTTGGGCTAGGGGACTTAATCTTGTATAAACGAAGGGTGAGGTCCCTCTGGGTGCTGAGAGTTGAAGGGCCCAATAAGGAAATTCCAGGTTTGAACCATTGGAGGGGTTTTATGTAATAAGAATAAAATCCCATGATTACTTTATTATCGAGGTGAGCAATACAGGCCCTCAGGGCCTCTTGTTGATAATATATGAATCTAAAGAGCTCCTTAATACGATTCTTGAAAGAAAAAAAAATTGTGCAATTGGATTTTCATTAACTTTTTCGATTGGTTTTTAATACAAATAATTATGTTTTGTTTGATATGTAATTTAGAAAACTTAATGGAACATTTTCTAATCAATTCACAGTCAAAGGTCATCATACATGTACCTGTACATAATTGATAAGGTTTGATATAGACAAATGCTTTAACATTTTGTGTAAGGCTCTAAGTGAAGTATGTTTGCCTTAACTGTTGCTAAGAGGTCAAAAGATGGGTTTATGCAATGGAATGAGTTCATGGAGTTGCAGCAGTGTCTTGTTGCATGGTTCAACATGTTTAGAGGCCATGACGTCGACAGAAACAATAAGGCCGACGCCAATGAGCTTCTCACTATGATTGCCAACCAGTTCAGTAAGTATGAGGACCTATTTGATCTTGTCGTCCCTGTTTCGTAATCACAGAGCTATGTGTGTCATCTCTGTGGTCTCCTAGTGATATTTGGTGCTCCAAAACTTTCTCAACTTATTGTACTTGCACGTTGGCTAAATACAGTATTAGACTTTCATTATTGCTGCAAAGTTTAGTAAATGTTCTGAGCTAAGTACACTGTAAATCTGTAAATTTCATTTAAAGCTGACTTACTTTAGCATTTAAGCTGTTGACCTATAATACTTGACCTTTGACCTATTTCAGAAATTATTGTGTAGACCTAAAACACTGGATGGATGTTGGATTATTGATTTTTAAAAGCAGAAGGTTGAACTTTGATCTGTTGCAGAGTTTAAGCTGACACCTAATAGTGCGACTACCTTGTTGAAGCGTTATTCCTATGTTGAAAGCAATGGAGCATGTGTACTGTCATTTGACGACTTTGTAACGCTCTGTGTCAAACTTCGTGCCCTTACAGGTAAGTCTATGTCTAAAAGGTTTCTCAATGAGTATGTGGAGATTTCCATTGCTTGTCTGACTTGAATAAAATAGCCGATACATGTGTCATAACAGGGGACATGCCAGAACAGAGCTTTTTCATCTTGTAGTACTTTATCATTTGATTTAACCATCTATACATAAATTTGAACAACATTAAACATGAGTGATTTTTCTGTTTATTATGCCTTCCCCCATAAAATATTGCTTTGGTGATGTTCGACGCGTTATGTCCCGTCGCAACCATCAAACATCAAACACACATGGTGACGGTGGGCACTCATGTCTTAGAGATGTTTTTCTAATTTTCCTTTATCAACTAATTCCTAAGAACCATAGGGTTACATAATGATACCTTCCTTGTGATTTCTAATATTTGACCTTGATCCACTTGCTTTGCAACATAATGATAGTCAATCAACCAACATACATTTACTCGGCTCACATATATCAAACAATCATGTGTTATTTATATATTATAATAGAAAACAAAGATTTGGTAGTGCTGGAGACTTGCATTCAAGGTGTAAGGAGTCAAATATCTTGAAATAGTTAAGTGACATCTTGTCCAGAAACAAAAATCCTTGAGTAATATTTAGCCTGTATGAGGCTTTATGAGAAATGACTAAATTTATGAGAAATGACTAAACAACTGAAAAGTACAATAACCATCACCCACACATAAGTCACAGGGACCAAATAATTTAAAATCTTTGAAATTCTCCTAACAAACCAAGATACCTTTAGTTATATTTTCCCCAAAAGCTGAAATAATTGGTTTTCATAGACATTCTAGGTCCCAGGACGTATTTGGTGTAAAGCTTGCTCTACAACGGGCAACCAATCGGTATAAATTACAATGACCCACATTCAAGGTGAGGTCACGGGAGTAAAATGCTTTATAAAAGTTTCAGTCAACTTCTTTTTAAAAAACATGTGGCCTAAGGTCATGTTGATTAATTGTATGTATATACCTGTGCAGGTTTGGAGAAAAAACAGACTCACCAGATTATAGAAGTTTTAACTGCTCCTAAGATTACAAAGGTTTTACTGTATTTAAATATTTTGTCATCACAGATGCCTTCCGTCGCCGTGACCAACAACAACACGGGCAGGAGACTGGCAATGCCACCTTCAATTATGATGATGTAAGCACGTGCCACACTGTATAAAGTTTTTACAATTTTAGTTCATATTTCCAAAAAGGGTGTTGCATTGAAAACATAGAGTAATTTTGATTATCAGAGATAGTTAATCAACTTTATGAGTTGTGTAGCACCAGTTCCATTGTCAAGTAGACGAAAGTCCAGATTCAGCTCTGAGCAGATTTGATTTTAACTGCATTTACACAGAAAGTATAGTCTTTTTAAGCTGAACTATTACATAGCATTACTTCCTTGTTATTAAATGAAGAGACAGAAATTTATATAATTTTGTTGATTGCTTTCAGTTCCTGCAATGCACGATGTGTCTTTGACCACAGGTATGTTGTCATAACAATAGTGTATTATGTGTCTTTGACCACAGGCATGTTGTCATAACAAAACTGTACAATGTGTCTTTGATCACAGGTA